CGAGAGTGGATCTGGAACCCCCTCCTGCTCCAGCGGTCCCCTCTGGAGTGCAAGACAAGGGTGCCCAATCAGCAACCTCATCTTCTGCACTGCATGTCAAGGCATGAGCCCTGCTGTACAAGAGAGAGGGCCTGACAGCCACAGCAAGCCAATCTCTGCTTGTGATCACAGCTGCCAAAGAGAGGGGCCTCATTCCTCTTCACAGTGATACTCTTAGAGGACTCAGAGGCCAGGTGATGGCAGGAAGGAGGAGAAATAGCACGATGAGCCTAAATGGCACATCAAGGCAAAAAACCACAAACTGTGGTAACCACACAGTGCTGCTTGTTATGGCTTTTCGAAATGCTCATGTTCAGCAGTTCAGATGAATCAAGAGGTAGTGCCAGCAAGTTTGGGTGCTGCAAGCTGGCCTTGATTTCAAAGCAGTCAAGCACCTTCACAGTTGTGTCCCAAGTTACCAGCTAAATGCAGCTCAAGTGTCAAGAATATTTACTTTCCTCTTACTACAAATTAAAAAGGAAAGTTAAGAATAAGAACACGAAGACAAAGTCGAGGAGAATGGTTTTCATGAATGGGTGTTCTTGTCAAGTGCACTAGTTCAGAAGCCCTGCCTTTCTCCCTCTTACACAAAAGGCATGTGTTTTCCTTACACCGATCAGTCATGACAAGGCCACACCTCATTCCTCCCCACAAAAGCATTAATATTATTACAGCTGGGCACAGTTCCATTTGTGTTCACAACAGTTCATGCTGTAAAATGATAGGCGCATTAATCAACTTCTGTTCTTGACGCACAGATTTGGTTTAGAATAATTTTACAGATGACTTTTTCTTTTTCATTAGAAGGAACACGAGGCTGGAGATTCTGTTAGTATCCCATCTACCCCTCTGCCCAACACCTCTGCCAGCCAAGTGACAAAAGTGGCCCTGAATGTGGTGCTGAAGACACTCCAAGAGTACTTCAGTCCCTCAGCATTCATATCAAGTCTTCCTTGTATGGGGGCAGTGTGGGATTTGACAGCTTCCTTTCTAGCCTTCCTTCCAGCCTGCACTTGGTATGAGAACCAAGTGCAGAACATATGGAAGTATTTGTGTCTGGCCTGATTTTCTGAAAGAGACTTGACAACTTCCTAGTTATCATTGTATCGTTTGAGCTTCATGCTGCCTGTAAAGAATGGGGGACCTGTGCTCAGTCCGACGCATACCTCACCCCTTATTCTGTACCTACCAGCAGCCCTGCTCTTTATATTACCCCACCAGCACAGGGACCTCTGAAGTTGTATTTTTCCCATTACAATGGGCCATTTGATGGCCAGGGGAGGGGGAGAGCAGTCCAGGACTCCTGTCATCTTTCTGAGACTGGGGTTGTCCTGGATGCGCAGCAGAACCAAAGCACAGGCTTTCTGCCATGAGCAAAACTTTCTCACCCCATCCTGGAGGTGCAAGAAGAAACCACACCAGAGCAGCCTCTCTGCTGGAAATGGAAGACTGAGAGAAGGAGCTTTTGGACTGCCTCCCAGCCACGTTCTCTTCCTCAGCATGATCAGCAAAGGAGGCATGGACATAACACTCATTTACATTACACACTCAGCCACTCTCCTTGAGGCCTGATGTCAACATGGCAACAGGGGGCCAAAAAGAAAGAAAGAGAAAAGCTTAGCTATGTGGTTGGAAGTTCCGGCTGCTACATGTTCTCATGTTCACATACCGCACAGTGGCTGCCAAAGGCACAGAGCCCTGCTGTGAACATGCATCGTCAGCCAAAGGGCAGGTGTTTCAAAGTCGAAGCAAGCTATATAGAATGCTGCGAGGAGGGAGGGGAGTGCCAAGTGCTTTCAGCAGACTCGGCATCCTTTTAAAACTGGGACCAAGACATGGCTAGAAGGCAGCTTAAATTACAGGGAGCTGGCAGTGATGCTGGAGAACAGGGGATTAAAGAGCCAGGTACCCATGTCTCACTCCTGGAAGTGAGTCCTGGGCAGAACTGGTGCTGCTGCCCCCGCAGCCACCCTGGCTCTAGTAAATTATGGCCAATAATAAGGGAAAGTTTCCATGAGAAAATAATGCAGAATTTGTATGTAAATGAGCAGCACAGATAACAAGCCGTTTCTTGTTCTACAGGATATTACAGGCTAATATTCAGCCATATGTTAGTCATTTAATCACTCCAGCCCTTAATATTAAATACTCATTAAAGGTTCATCATACAATGATTCTGAGCTGCTTATCTTTAAAAGCAGCTTCTTTGCCTTTCTTTCTTTCATGCACAAATCACATGGCCAGTTTTCCTGAACTGGCCCTTCATCTACTTTCAGTCCTCATTCATTCTTATGTCAATCACTTAATTATAGCATTTGTACTCCATTCATCTTCAAAGCTCAGGGTGGCATACATGGTCCTCTTGCTTGTCATTTAATCTTCACAAAGCTTTGTGGGATAGGTTAGGCCGAAAGAGCATAACCAGCTGTCATGGCTGCATAGAGATTTGAACCTGGGTCACTTTTCATCCCAGTCTGGCACACTAATGACCATACTGACCACCAGCAGGAAGAGGTGGCCCCTAGTGACCCATTGCTCTTGCCATAAGGAATTACAGTGGCAGAAGACAAGAACCAGAAGAGTTTAAGCAGCAGATAAAAGAGAAGCTACTAATTAAAGGAATAGTAGCAGGAAGCAGTGGGACCTTGGCTGACTAAGGTATTTATAAATAAACACAGCAGAATTGTGCCAATGGGGTGGGGGCACTGGCAGGGTCTATGGGGAATGGGCCATTTGAGCTCCATTGTCCAGCTGGTTGCAAAAGAGGGATGCATAAGCAGTAATGAAAGTTCAAAAGGTCTCCCCAAAGACCAGCTCAGTCGCTGACCTCACAGTGTCTGGGCTATTCTTCAGTAGAAAGGTCTTAACAAAAACCAGAGGGACCTTCTTCTGTCTCAGAAGCTGGTGTATTATTTGTAACTATTGTTCAGACCAATTTCACTTTAAAGATCAAAGGATAGTTTTCCAAACCCATTACTGAAAGTTAGGGCAACCAAAACACTTTCATCAACTCCTTTAGGTAAAATAGATACTTCCTGAAAACTCCCCAAACTGAGATTTACTTTCATTGCAAAATTGCTCCCAGACTTGGATCCTTTCACTTGATGTCAAAGTTCAAACTAAAAACTGCACATAAATGTAGTTATTACTCTTCCCCAAATTAGAGTCAAATGCTCATCTATGTCTGGAGCATGATGAGTAAGGAGTGATTGAGAGCAGAGGCAGTGGCAGTCATCTAGAGCTGGAGCCATTACATTGCATTTGTGTCTCGCTGTTTTCCTCTTGTGAGGAACCCAGAGTGGCCTACACAGCTCTCTTCCACTCCTTTTTATTCTCACAACCACCACCCTGTGAGGTGAGTTAGGCTGACAGTCTGTGACTGGCCCCAAATCACTTGGTGAGCTTTGCGGCTGAGTGGGGACTAGAACCTGGCGCTCATAAGTCTCCAGTCCAGCCATCTAAACACACCCCTGATCATCTCTTCCACCATGGGCTCTGGCTGAAATAAAGGTACTGGAGAGCAGAAGATTTTGTGTTGCATCTGTCCCCACTGCCCATTAGCTGGCTTTCTGGCTACTCGGGCTTCACCTCCTGCTGCCTCCCCCTGAAACTTTTTGCCTGAGGTTTTTTGTTGAAATAACTTCCTTTCCCGTCTATACATCTTTCTACAAATAGAGATGTCCTCACAAGAAAGGATCCTTTAAAGACACAAAAAAAGGGGAGAGAGACTTTAGAGCATATGTAAATTAGCGCATGAACATTTGTTTTGCTTTGTCCTGTGGGCCTGAGCCCTGGTTCATACCAAACACCACCTCAATTTACAATAGAGATTGCAATCAGCAGAGTCTCATGGGGATGAAAGGGGGATAAAATCAGCAGAGTTTTCATGGGGATAAAGGTAAACGTGTGACCTGCTTAGTGGTAGTACTGATCTGGGTGGGATTATTCTGCATAAACTAATCTAATGATGCACCACAGTAATGGAGATAGAAAATTCAAAGGTATCTGCATAGAGTTAGGGTCAGGATCAATCTGATGAAATAGACCAATGGCTCCCAACTTGGTGCCCTCCTGATATGTTGAACTACAGCACCCATTATCCCAGCCAGAACAGCCACTAGACATCTGGAAGGCTGAAACTTCTTAGGCCTAACTCAGTTGCTTAGCAGGCCATCGCAGGACTTTGCAGTGGGAGGGGTGCACCTCTCAGATGTCACATGTTGTAACCAGTTTTTGCAATCATGCAAGATTTGTCTTGCTCCAAAGTGGAGGAAACTACCAATCATCTGCATGTAGATCACATAATGGAGCAGTTCACACGACCAAATAGCCCTCTGTGGCTTACTTAAGCCACAGCGGACTGCAGCACAGGTGGAAATATATCTTATTATGAAGATATATTCCCACCATTTTGAATATATCTTATTATGCGAACCTAGAAAGGGTGGGTTGCTGGCACAATTAAGAAACCAGCACATATTCATGGGCTATGTTAGGGTTACAGGTGGTTTGTTCATCACAGCCACAGCCCATCTTCATCAGGGTGAGACATTGTAGCTTGAATATCTAAAAGCCTATCATAAGCCACAACCAAAAGGTCCACCAATATTCACTATAAACTGCAACCCACCATGGCTTAAGCCATGCTGGGCATGCAGACCAGGTCTCACTGCTTTGATGGAGTGAGACTCTGTTCCTCAATCCGATGCTGACTTTCATCAGTATAATAGGTTGTCAGTTAAGAGGTACGGCTCTTAACTGACTCTATTACACCAGATGAAATCAGAGCACCCTAGTAACTACACTGAGAAGTGAGAAAGATTTTAAATTTCTAAGGGCTGTTTGCAGATCATCACCCCATGTGTGAAACAGCATGCATCTGTGAACTAACCATGCAACACAAATGTTACCTTTGCTTCACTCACAACACAACTGTACAACATTCATATAAGATATCAAAGAAGGTTACAACAAACTTTATAAAAACATGAAAGTCCAGTGGTCAATGAATCCTCCTTTTTGTCTTCCATTTAATATCCCACCTTTCTACCAAGAAAACAGGTATTAAAAGGTTTCCTCCCATACTGTTATTCTTCGGAAGTAACTACTACAGGATGTAATACTAGAAGTTGTTTCAGAAATAAACTAGAACACATGTACTGCTAAAACTATGAAGAGCAGAAAAATATTGCTTCGTTTTTTCAGGGATTTGAGAAAAATTGGAAAAATTGAAGTTTGCCCATTGTTTTCTAGCTTTCTATTTTTTTCTGGGATCTTTCCTCAGGCCATCACATAAATATGCTACTAAGAGAGCCCTTAAACAGGTGTCATGGTGAAATGATAGCTCCTTCTCCCAAATACACATCAATATGACAAGCGAGGCTACCATTGCAAGGTTGTCAGCTTTTTTTAGTAAAACTCATTTTAAGACACCATGACAGACACAAGGTACAAAAAACTAGGCTTGAGCAGACATTCACTGTTGGCATCTTTGGAGAACTGAGTGCTCTCACTAACCCTGGCTCCAGGCTTTCAGAATCTCCCAGTTACACATGGGCAAAGCTGTTTCCAAACATTGTTTTCTCAGATATGTTCAAAACTGATCTTCCTAGAGAAAGTACATGGACCACATTACACTGACACAGCTAGACGTAAACCAAGTTCTGTGATCAGGGACAATTTAGTACTGAAATTTAATGAAATCCTGCATTAAAGTCTATCCCCAGCTGAGTTCCAGTTTGCAAGCAATGAAGAAGTCTGGATGAAGGTACATTCAGATGAAGCCTACTGCAAATGTTGTCCCCATCATCCAGCGGTAAGAAAAACATCCCTGTAGAAGGCAGCTTCCTCCTTCCCTCTCAGGCTATTTACGGTAAATGTATTCAAAGATGAGGAGGACAGAAACCTGGAAATGCAGGATTTGCACTCTCCTTTTTGACTTTCCAGCATAACAGTCATGAGACTCTGACTTATCCATTATTTGAGGAACATCCTGGGAGTTTCTTTGGAAGAGGAGGCAGGCTGAGATATAGGGAGAGAGGAGGGACTAAGTGAAAGAATGTCTGATGTGTATAAAGAAGACAAGGGCTGGAGCTGCTCACTGGATCCTGGCAGCGAAGCAAGCACTTTGGAAGATTTCCCATCTTGCATCTTGAGATCTTTGGGTCCTGCCATCTGCTCAGTATCTGTAATGATCTGGCTTGAAGGGACCATCTTTGGGTAATCCCAGATACTTGGCTTGCTTATCACTCAGCTTTGTTAGCTTCACACAGAGTTTATCCAGATGAGCAGCAGCCACAGCTTCATCCAGCTGAACAAAGGAAAGAAAAATGTGGGAAGGAGTTAAGGTAGAGAGAAATAAATACCCAACAATGCTTTGAAGCATCAAAAAGCAAACCATTGTTCCACTTAGCTCCTCTATATGGTTGACTGTAGATTTCCAATTGTTTCACAGCCATACTCGGAAATGCCCAGGAGGGAACCTCCTGCATCTACACTGGAGGGCAAAAAGCTGAAGTACAGTGCTCTAAGTCCTGTGTTCTTAAACTATTTTAGGCTTTTAAAAGATGATCAAGAGCCCTTTGAATTTCACCCAGAAACTCCCTGACATGGCCGTTGCATGAACTTCTCTAGATCTTCTACTACCCTTTGAAGAAGCAGCAGCATCTGTACCAGCTGGAGTGTCCAAGTCCATCTCCCATGTACTTAGAACAGAAATGTCAGGCCAACTCTATCTCTTAAAATTTCACACTCTTTTTATTCCAGCTGCTTTACAATTTTTCATTTGTGTGTGCGCATAAGATAAATGTATTAGAAGCACAATGTGCCAAAACTAGGGCCCTTCATGCCTCTGGATTACAAAATGATACACACAATCAAACTGCCCATCTCCAGTGCCACAAGACCTCTTTGTGTTTGGTCCAACAGATTAATATGACTAATTCTTGGGAATTTGTCATCAAGTAGTATCTCAAGCTGCACTAGTGTAAGTCTCCTCAACAGCAATGAAGTTGCATCAAATCCTCCATTTTCCCAAACACTTTGGAAACCATTTTTATAGGAGGATTGTGCATGCTGAAGAGCACCCGGGTGTGCACAGGTTTATTTTATTTACCAAATTAAAACCCTTTTCAAATTATCACTTTTGGATCCAGCTGAATTTCAAAGAGGACAGGGCCTAGCCCAAGCATCAAATGACAACTATCCTGTCAAATTCACAGGGTCATTTTGGGAAACTGAGGCCAGATGACTTTTATTCAAAATGAGGAACTTGCAACATTCCTCAATCCTCACACCATTCCAGAACAAAGAACTCATTGGTAATTTTCATAATTAAGGAGAACTTCAGGGAAAATAAAATAGCACAAAATATGTCAGAGATGTAGCAGAGACACAGTGACATTTAAGCAATTAGGAACAGACAGTAACTGGTTTTGCTCAGATATTCAAGGGGCTATAGAATTCCTGTTCCCATCCTGCCTGCACACAGGAACGGGCCACAACTGGTTTCAGTAGGGGTCACCAGTGCCATCTCTTGCTTCACTAAATATGAAAGCAACAGCCTGGGAAGCACAAGGCAATCCCAAAACATAAAACAAAACACAACAGGCCCAAGGGCAATGTTTCAAAGTTCCCAACCCATGGTAGGGAAAGCTCCATCTACCTTAAAGCTTATTTTCCTTACAGAAGGTGTATGCTAAGTTGTGAGTAAGCCCAAACTCATCCAAATATTAGCAAGCCCACCACTAAGACAATTCTTTCATAGTATTATAAATGCACAGCTATTGCAAGGACTTGAGTTAGAAACTCCCTGGCTCCAGATGGCTTTATTACACTGGTGTTCTGAGAACACAGAACATAAGACACCGTTTTATAGTGAGTTAGATCTTTTGTCAAGGGTTTTAAATAGGCAAGAGCCTTCCCCTTCATCTGCTAACTGGAGATGCCAAGGACTGAGCCAACTGAATCCCAAAGAAGTTCTCAGCCCCGCATCTATTAAATGGCCCCACCCACCCAGGTTGCTGGATTACTAAGAAAAATGTAATGTTCAGAAAAGCTTATACTGAGAAGGACATGACCAGAACATGATGAGCTAAGCAGGTCTGGGTCAATACCTGGACTGGAGACTACCTGGGAACTTTATACATGATTCCTTAAGTCACATGATCAAAGAAAGGTGGGATAAAAGTGTACTAACTAAAACAAATAAACTGATTAAGGCTATGCATCTTAATACATAAAGCATTTAAATCTAGTAACAGTTTGCCATAGACTTCAAGATTTTGCTGTTCCCATCTTGATCTAGATGTTAGCAAGTTCACACCAACATTGAAAGCAGAATGAAAATGCAGTACATTGCTGCTGCTAGCTCTTCACTTTATGGGTTTGTGTGGCAGCCCAAACCATTATTTATGTTTTGGGATGCTATTAAACAAAGATAGTGTAATCAAAAATAAAACCAGCAACATAGCCCACAGCACTTTAAAATAAGAGACTGATGATACTCTTAGTAGGCCAGAAGTCAGTTTATCTCCCTGCCCACACCCTTCTCATTTTCCATTCCATCTTCAAAGACAACACAAGACCAGATCTTAGCCCAAATACTCACCTTCTTTGGTAGAATATGGACTCCTACTGCATATTTGCCAGGATTTGTCCAGAGCTCTATCTGTGCCAGCACCTGGTTGGTGAAGGAATTGCTCATGACAAAACTAGGATGACCCATGGCACACCCCAGGTTCACCAGTCTCCCTTCTGCCAGAAGTATGATGTGGCGGCCATTTTTCAGCGTATAGCGGTCCACCTGAATGGAAACAAAAACCAACACAGTAAGAGCTATGGTTTCTAATGACTGGTCAGGATCCACAAAGGAGACAAGAGCATCACTGAGAAGAATTGCTGGACTGGTAGGAGTAATGCTATACAAGGACAGCATCTGGAAAATGTGAAATCAACAAACTGAAACCTTAGTAAGCAGTTTACCACCCACTGCACAACAGTCAAAAAGTGATCAACTCTCAGTCTCCTGATAACCTTCTTCACCATGTTATTTTAAAAAGTAGTACATTGAAAAGCAACCAAGCAAAATATAAGATAGAACTATGTCCCCTGAGTGGATTACAGAAATCTATATAGTAGATTACATCCTGGACAAATGGCTGGTCATGTACATTTGTAGGACCAGTTTGCTTAGCTCTTCTTTTATGCTGAGCACAAAAGACCTTGTATTAAAAGGAATTTAAGCCACAATCCTACCCGTACCTTTCTAGATGCAAGTTGGCTTGAATACAGTACAATCTACCTCTAAGTAAAGATGCATAAGACTACTCTGCATGGCAAAACAAGGAAAGCATATACTCACTCAAACCTTGTGCTAAAAGGGTATGCTATCCAATCATGGCTTAAGGTACCACGGTGACCCAGATGGGTCTCTGGACTAAGCCAGCAAAGAATGGTATCTTTCTGTGTCTAATCCCATACAAAATATTTTAAACCTTAAAGTCAGTGATGGGGGTGCCAGTGTTTTTAGAGATGTTCGTCTTTGTGGAAAAGTGATGCACCATTAAATACACCCAAAATTGCCAAGAAAAAAAAAATGCACCCAAAATCTGGTGGCTGACATGCACATATGTGAAAAGAAAGCCCAACAGTGCACAGCATTGTTGGAACCCAGAATGTAGGAAGTACAAATCATGGCAAACTGGAAGCAGTAAAGCAAGAAATGGAACATTTGGACATGGCAGTACTGGGTGTGAGCAAACTATAGCAGGCTGGAATGGGACATTTTCAGCAAGGCATACACAAGTTGTTTTACTCGGGAAATAAAAAAGATCCCCTGAATATGAGCAGCCACAAATGGTTTCAAAGATCCAGAGTAAATCTAACAAGAAAGCCTCAACAGGTATAATAGCAAGCCATAATAGTTATTCTTTTACTATTCCTCATAAATCACAAGAAAATCAAAGATGTTATGATTTAAGGTGAAAGGAACAAAACTGTCATATTAAACTCCAACAAGACCAAGCAAAGGCACAGGGGAAACTTTATATTGAGCTGTTTATCTAGGAAAATACAGTCTTAGGTGAGTAGAATGCAATAACATATCCCAGCAGAGAAAAGGAAAAACCAGAGTGTGAGCCATTTACAAAAACACGTACATTATTGGAACCGGTCAGAGAAACAAATTTTGTAGACTGGTGGAGAAAAGCAAACCCTTCAAGAGTTTTAACTTTTTAATTCTGCCTTTCAATATTCCTTCAGAAATGTATTGCACTGCTTCCTGTTTGTACTAACAACAGGGCCAGTGCCTTGAACTTTTAGTCTGAATCAGGAAACAAGAGGAGTGGATGAAAACAATACACAGGACTCTTTTTGCTTAGTATCATTATTTACATGTGTCTGCTTTGTCAAGATGTAGCCAGTTGCAGGGGCTATAGCATTACTTTAAAAAATATGAAAGCCATGCTTTCACATATGGGGAATGGTGGGAAAACTCTAGCCCTTTAGAGGCTCTCTCTATTTGCGCAGGCTGACCATGCTCAGCCTCTAACATTTCTATCACCCTTCAAACGGGGGGGGGGGGGGGGGGGTGTCAATATTCTGAAAAGGAGGGTCTCCCCTATCCATTAAAACTCTCCATATGATCTCAAATGCTGGAAAACTGACAGTCAAAATCACATGGATAGCCTCTACAGAGAGAGGAGGATATCCTTTTCAGAACATCAAGTTCCAAGTGATGTTCTCTCTAGAGTGCCAGGAATGTATCAAGAGGGCCTGGATGTGCTAATGTTGAGTCCACACACACAGGAATCAGCTGTCCAGGGCTTGTGTAAAATATTAGGGTATTCTCTAATGTTAGTCCTATAAGAGTACGCCTATTTATATGAACGAAGCTTAATTTAGTCCCATTAATTCAATTGGGTTTTCTCTATCTAAGTCTAACATTAGATTTTATGCTGGCATCCAGCTAGAATGGGGTAACAGTTCAGTGCACTGCTGTTGACTTATAGAGCTCTGAAGAGCCTGGGGCCACGATAACTGGGCCAATACCCTGCCAGATCATCCTACTGATATACTGCTTTCAGGTTTTGTTCCAGATGCTCCTTCCACAGGAGCTTGTGCAAGTTGCAGGACAAAAAATTATCCAAGTGAACATTGGTAAAGGGATGGGTATGACTCGTTACTTTAAAGTTGAAGTTTTACACTGTTGTTCAGTTCTGTTACTTTTTAATAATTATTCAAGCCAGGTAAACTTTAAAGAAAATTGCCAAGTATGTGTGCCAAGTTAGTTTGCCACCCCGTCTCAACTTTATTTAAGTCTCTGTACAACTTACAAAAAACAAAACAAAAGAACATATACAACAACCAGCACACAACACACTGCATCTGATGATGATGATAGAAACAGGGATAAATGTTGTAAGCCGCCCCAAGGCCTCGGCAAGGGGCGGCATAGAAATGTTTTAATAAATAAATAAATAATAAAATAAAACCAATTAATTCTTAAAATATTGGGAAATTTTTTTAAAAACTTTATAGATTCTGTTTTGCTGGAAGAGAGAGTAAGATATTCCTGGGGGAAATCTTATAACAAATAAATCTTAAAAGTATGTGGGCACTCCTACAAGTGCTTAATGAGCGGACTTTGCTCAGATGAAATGACTTTTCAAAGGTGGCAAAAGATACCTGCACTGCATTCTCTCCACCATGGGGATGAGTTACTGGACAGATGAAGTCCAGACGCAGGTCTTCCAAGAGAAGATCCACATGCAGCAAAGCCAGTTCCTAGCCGACCTGCCAGGAGGATCGTATCCCCTACTTTATTAATGTATTTCTCTGTACCCTACCTCTCTACCGAGAAAAGGAAATTCAGAGAGGCTTGAAAATAGCACCAAATGAACTACCTGATGTCCTTCAGCCAATTGGATGCTGGGTGACAGGTCTTTCAAGACCCATCCCTTTTCTAACATCATAAACAAAGAATCCCTTCTAAAACAAGGAGTAGTGACTGACAGGGAGAGAAATGTCAATTGTATGTTTTATATCTGAAATAATACACATGACCTTCTAAAGGGGGTCTTCTAAAGATCATTAAATCCAGGGTCAAAAATCAACTTAGCTGCACTCCTGAGGGAGAAGTCTGCTTTCAAAATGGTGTTTGTTGGATGCTGAAATGAAGAATATGCAGAATTGCAAAGCACAAAAAAACCCAGAATAAAGAGATGATAGTATAAAACTAACAAGATATTTGAAAACAATGCATCTATTCCGGCTTGTTTATTAGAAAAAATTCTTATAAAATTATGTGCATATGGTATAACATGCTGGAAAAATTAAATATATATGTAACAATGAGAACAATTATAAATGTTGGAAGAGATGTGAAGAATGAGGAAATCGCTTTCACATGATGTGGTCTTGTAAAGACATACAAACATTCCAGGGGAAAGTTTATGGTCAAATTGAGCAGATGTCTGGCTGTACTGTGTATACTGATTTACAATTTACTCTGTTAAATGGGAGTTGAAAAGAAATGGAGATGCTGGCAAAACCAAGAGTTAATTATATAATTCTTGATGTTAGCTAATCTATGCATTGTGGAGAAATGAAAGGACAAGTGTCATTAGTGAATGGTTTAACAAGTGATGAAACTTGTATGCACTTACAGGGCTCCAGAGGGGAAAAAGACTGAAAACCTAGCTATTTTTTATGAGCTTTACCAGTGTTTGTGCATAAAGCCAGAGAAGCCTTCCCACCTACAGCTCATCTCACCCAGCTATTTTAAGAGACTGTATACCTCACATACATGGGGGAATGAAATCAGTTTTGCATTCCATCCTAGTTTTATTCTACTGAGAGCATTTTTAAAAATAATAAATTGTCTTTATTTTGAAAAGCCACATCTGTGTAAATTCTTCTGTATTTGTATCTCTCCTTAGTGCAGGACACTTAATGCTAAAAAGGAGCTACTCCCCCATAAGACAGAAACTTAAAAGGTATTTTATATTCTCAATTTTGCTGCCTGCTGTGAAAGAAAACCTGATTATTGGTGGTGGTGGTTTTACATGTATGCCCTGATATTCTTCCTCTTGCAAAGAAGTGCAGGTGGCTTTCAAGGTCCTCCTCCTCTTTCTTTTATCCTTGCAGTATCAACTCTGTGAAGTAGCTTGGGCTGAGAATCAGTGACTGGCCCAAGGTTACCCAGTAAGCTTCTTGGCTGACCAGGGTCTAGAACCTGGCCTCCTAAGTCCCAGTCAAACACTCTTGCCCCATTCCAACCTGTATAATCTGGTGTCCCTTCCAACCTGTATAAACTGACAACCAGCTAAGTCTTAATTAAAACTATAGCTGTGCCTTTGAATGGAACAGTCAGGGGCTTCTTCCCTTCCACACCACTGAGCATCTGACAGCCACCTCATTCTGCATAATGACAGAACCAGCTCTGGTTGTTATTCAAGTTCCTCCAAAACGGAGACCAGGAACTCAGACTGATAAGCAGTGGCAGAATCCAAGATCAGGACAACATCATGAGCATTGCTGGGCTTCTACTTCACATGTTGTCCTAGCCCCTTAGGTACACACTAATATGGATTTCAAAATGGATGTCACATGCCTAAAACATGGCAAAAGTTAGCACTGATCCAGATCAGATCTCATAAAGTAGTTAACCCTCACCCAAATGGCCAACAAAGGATAATACAGGAGAAACTTTTATGGAAAAAGATTAATCATGGTTATATTAAAAGTGCCACAAGTCTCTTTCTGTAGGTTCACTATAAAACAATCCAAACTGAATTGGAATGAAAGTTCCTTTCAGGGATTGAAAGCAGTTTGCAATGGCATCTCTGAAGAGGAAACATCCGAGAATCATCTTCAAAAGTCCAATTCTAACAGAATAGAGTAGAAGAATTCTATTATGCTGGTTCTAATCAGTGCACATTATACTCACACCCAATTACTCTTCCTACAGCAAGTCTCCTTGCTTATTCTGGATGCCAGGACTTTAAAAGAGATGGGCTGCTTTCATGTTAAGAATGTACGAAGGGATAAGAACTGCTTTTTGATGTGCTCTTATTGAATGATTTCTCATGCTCTCCATACCTGAAATGTTTCAGAACTAGTAATGACTTTGAAAAGATGCCACATAGCCTTTTTTTAAAGTATGACAACGTGTTTTTGAAAGACTCCAGGTCTCCATTTACCTATGAGCAAATGAAAACCAGTAGCTGAATACACCAGAAAGGGCAAGATGGAAATGCAGGCTTGCTACAGAAAATCCAGAGGGCCTTCACCATGACAGGTTACAGTATCCATGGCTATAAATCAAGGCTAGAAAAATGTAAACAACCCAGATCAGCCACACCATAAAGGGAAAGTGTGCCAGGTTGGTTTCAGATCTCGGCTAATACTAACCAGGCACACAACCTCAAGGGACTCCCCATACAGTTAAAACAGACCGTGTCTAATCACAAACGGCGGAGACCATTTTACTGAAGGTGTTAGCAAGTTTTGCTGCAGGGCACCAAGTGCACATTCCGAACTTTGCGTGTCTGAGACAGGAATTATAAAAGGAGACTTTGATGGGATTCTTAAAATTACCACCACAGTGTAAGGAGCACATAATGTCAGCTCTTTCATGCAGTTACAGATGAAGAAGTGTGACCCCATCTGGTCAGACAGCTTTGAATTCTGGTTTGAAGCAAAGGTCTGTGATCCAGAAGAGACTTCTGCTGGGGAAAGTCCAGCATTAAATTCTAGCATTCTATCAGGAAGATCAAACAGGAAACAAGCTCCTTATGGTTACACACAGATTGCTAACCATAAGGTTAGTGGTTGTGCAGTTGAAGTTTGCAGCTATGCACTTGAGCACCCCAGCTTCGATCACTAAGCATCTTTTTTTTTTTTTAACCAGGGTTGTATTTAAACACTTATGGAAGCAACATATGGTAGCTGTGCAGGCCTGTTCTATTGCTGCAAAAACAAATTGTCTTGGGGCAGCTTAGCAACCAACAAATTTATTCTGACATAAGTTTTTGTGGACTACAATTCACTTCATCATTACACAACTACAGTCCACAAAAGCTTATGCCAAAATACATTTGTTTAAAGATGCCATAACACTACAACTCAGAATACATTAAAGATGCCATAAGACTATTTGGTTAGAAAGTTAGAGACATCCACCCCACCCAGGGTCAATGTATAAGCAAACCCAGGGATGCAAGAATCCAAAATCCACAAAGAGGTTTTTATTAACGCTTCTAAGCTTTACTTGAGGACAAATCAGAACACAGTTCATTGTACCTTTTGCACTCCTTCCTGGAAAGTTTCTTGTTGTGGAAAATGCATCTAATGGTTCAACAGACATCTGCAGAGGTGTTATGCTACAGGTTCCACACCCCGTGGTGATAAAAGGAGGAAGAGCATTCACCTGGCTCAAGTGTGAATAAAGTCTTCCAATGGCCTCTGCCAGGTGTAACTCATGGAGCATGCCCCGGCACCAGTTCCAGTGCGCACACACTGCTGGAAAATTCAGCAAAGATGGAGCCTTGTAACAGGACTAGTCAGCCCTTCTTTTCATTTCAATAAAAATTACTTTCCACGTAACCTCATTCCTTTGTTAGCACTTGGCTGGAGTAGAAGCTCGCCTCCGCAGCCCCCCTTATTGCTCTGCTGCTGGCAGAAATACCTTTGGTACAATTTCACCACGTACAGCTACAAAAAGGAATTAGTTGAAGATGAAGAAATAAGATCTCAGTTCAGGCCTACTCACCTGGGGCTTAATGTTCACAGTCTCTACGGCATTGTCATTCAGCCATTTCACGTCAATTTCCACATCAAAGTGCCCAATGTTGCACACAATGGAATCATCTTTCATCTTTTCAAAATGCCTAGGACAAATGAACACAGAGGACTGATTCCAGGAACAGCAGCTCATTGGGCAGTTTTACACATTGCAAGAAGCAGTGGTGGATGTTTACAATGATTCCCGGTTGCTTATCAGGACAGGGGGATGGTTACCAGGATAGTTCCGACAGATGCTCATGTATCTATTATGCCATCACTCCCTCTCTCTGTAGGCAGCATGTTTGCAGTTGGGCTGCTGAGTGTTCCCCATTTCATCCTTCTACATGATTCTTTAACCCTTTCTTCCCCTCCCCACAGCTGATGCCCCTTTTGTTGTCTGAACTGCAAAACTTGGTTCCTCCATGTTGGTCCACACTTCTCCACCTGCCAGTTCTTCTGCTTGAGCTATTTCCTTCACTACAGAGAAGCATTCCCGCCCCGCCCCCACCCCCGCCCCCACCTCCATCATATACCTGTTCCTAGAGCCTCTAGTACCAACTGTGGCATGACCTTCTCCTAACTCGGCCATCATCACCCAATCTTGCCACCCATCTAACACCTTTTATGCTCTCCCTTTCCCTCCTGCCTTAATTCTTACCTGGTCTACCATACAGTTGATATTAACATACTATACACTCCCCACTCCCATTCCACTGCCCAGAGCTGCTAGTCCATGCAGTAGTGTTTTATCCCCACCCTGCCACCCTCCATGCTGCCTGGCACCAAAAGCTCTCTTGCTCTCCCAATCCCTCCCACTTATGCTTCCATCTTGACAAGAAGAGAGATGAAGGCTATTACTTCTTCCCCTAAATCCTTGGTTCCTGTTATCTCTAACCATTTCCCCATCTATCCTCCCTCCCACCTGTGCTACAAGTCTGAATTAGATCTTTCCCACACCTTTTCTCCCTAAAGCCTTTCTTACTCCTGTAGCCAGTTTAGCCTTGACTTCATTTTTCCAGTCTGTTCAACTATCCCTTCCCCTCACTGCCCACCTCACATACTTGTAAAATTCTCCAACTATAATCATTCTATTAAAAGCATGCTTTATTTTGAAAGAAAATTGGGGGTTTTTTGTTATTCTGATTGCAAAAGTAAAAAGCATCCTACAATTAAAATATGTCTTTATTAATCAATTGAAATGGTGCTGTGATTGCTTCAGAATTGAGTCTATCATCATCATCATCATCATGGAGCACCAAATAGCCACAGCTCTCTGGGCAGGGTACAACATGCTTCAGAGTTGTGCCATTTTGCATGCTACATTAAAGACAACATACTTGTTTGTTTCCCTGTAAAGGAATTTCCCTACAGGGAGAATACAATAATGGCCTAGTTTTCCCTGTTTGATAAATACTACTCTTTAATCTATATAACCTACTCAAGTACAGCTCCTTATAGTAGGAGCAAGGCTGTCGAAGCAAAGTAAGTGACAGCATGTTTGCTGTTAGACACTCTGAATAGAGACTGAATGACCTGGAGCAGCTGCTTGTTTTGCATCCATTGTATGGGTTTCTGTATTGATGGTGCACATGAACCTTGTTCACCAGTACCTCAATTTGGAAGATACTGTCAGAACATTTCACAGTTCTCAAACTGGAATTGTGCCTTCAGAAATACATTCTTATTAACAGCAATATACAGATATGAGAAATAACGGATCTAATCACCCCTGGGACTCCCCACCCCATCAACATGCTATATAGCTGAAAATTCTCAGAAGCCCTATTAAAACCCTTAATTTCCTTGGGTGATCCCAATTCTATTACAGTGGCTACCCTACCGATTGTCCCTCTGCAACATTGTGTAGACCAAGTCAAGTCTCTGCTTCTCTTTCTGAAAGTTCTTAATGTAACTACAAAATAGAAAATTATTGGTGGTGGAGTCAATCTGGGCAGTAAGATGGAGCTTGGAGACAAATGCAAGACGGAGGGGCAGGCAACGGAAATGAAAATGAAATGATAGATCCAAATCTTAGAAGTTGTTTTAAGTCTTCATTGTCTGAGGTCTACCATAGCATTGCTCCACACTAGAAGCAAAAACCTAAAATTACTCCAGGCCACAAAAGAGAATCTGGAAAATTTTTAATGAAGTTTCAGTACCGGTGGGTAAGACATGCATCTGTGCAAAATGCAACACAGAAATACAAGGCATGGCTGCCCAAATGAAGCCACCTCATGAAAGTGCTCCCTTCAGAAAAATGTTCGTCTGAAGATGACAAAATGAACATGCCTGAATATTAAAGATCCTCAGATTAATCAACTTCATGTCCTACTTTTCCCTTAAAGATTGCCAGTTTTTCCTGGCAAACTACTTGAATGTAGGCCACTTGAATTTTCGTGTTTCAATAAAAATATAGTTGTTACTTTATGGTCCTATCAGTTTTGATGTAGTTGTGTTAACAATGGAATTGCTGAAATAAGCAGATCTTCCTCTTACAATGTCTCCTTTACTACTTAGTATCAGTGCATGCCTTTAACAATAACGATAAGAAACAGTTATAATGCTTTGTTTTGTTTAGGAGGATCCATTGTCAACATAAAGGTCAATGGTAATTACCTCCCCTGCACAATATCTGTGCATCCAGTGGTGGTAACAAATATGTTTCCTTCTGTGCAGGCCTCTTCCATTGTTGTCACTTCATAACCTAAAGAGGAAAGTAGATAGGAAATTATATATGGCACTGTATCTTTGAGACTCTTTGCACTTGATGTTTTATTATCTTTGCACAAGCCAGAGAAATAACCAATGGTTTGTTCATGGGTTATTCCTCTGGTATGACAGGGAGAGCCAGGCTGGCACCGCACATCAGTGCTAAGTCCATGAAGAGCTATGATTTATTAAGCTGATGTTACTTACTGTGGGAGCAACCAAAAAGCAGGCAACAGCATGCTGTTTGTAAATGGTATGCCAGGGTTCCCATGCAAACCTGGCTTACCGTTTGCATGCTGTGCCAACTTGGCCATTGCAGCAGATATTGTTCCTTTCCCTCCAAAGCAGCTTGAACCAGTTTTTCTGGCCAAGATCAGGGTGTTAAGAAAGGAAAGGAAGGAGACAGAGGCAACCCATAGCTGTTGTCTTATCACTACAGCGCCCCACAACCCCCAAGGGAAGACAACACACTTGGGCGAATCTCCTTTGCTTCTCACCTTCCATGGCTGCCTGCAGTGCGTTGATCGGATCGATTTCTGTGATGATCACCCTGGCACCAAAGTTCCTCAGGGCTTGAGCACAGCCTTTACCAACATCCCCATAGCCTGCCACAACAGCCACTTTCCCTGCAATCATAACATCTGTGGCACGTTTTATTCCATCAATGAGGGATTCCCGGCACCCATAGAGGTTGTCAAATTTACTCTAGGAAGGAAAGCAGTTTTTCAATGTAACGTTTTATTAACTTTCAAATATACAAAGATGAACCAAAAAGAACGGAAAATTGCATTAAGTCTAGTTGTGGCCAGAGGGGAATGGATTTAATATATTTTTCTTCTTACTTTACAGGCAAAGATATGAATAGAAACCATTGGCTGCTTGAAGATTCCTTTTTGTTCTTTATGCTAGCAAACTGTATTTAGTTTCCTTTCCAGAATCTGAGGAAAGACTTTCATAAATATTTCTGCATATGTCTGTAATATACAGATAAAATAAAGTTATATCATAGTGTATAAAAATTAATGAGTTTAAATTTGACTGGCAGGGAAGAAAACCCTGATCACAGAAGCAACTTTTTAGAAAATGTAGCACTGTCTCTAATATCAAAAGATGCCCATACTATGAAAAAGCACATTTAGAAAACCACTGGTAGGCTAAATGCTTCCAGTGCAAAGCATTTTCTAGGAGTGGGAAACCCATACTACTTCAGACCCTAACTTCCATCAGCTTCAGCCAGCATAATCAATGGTCAGAGCTTATGGGAGCTCTAATTCATTAACATCTGGAAGGCAACAGGTTTCAAGCCCCATCTGTAATCCCATAATATGCTTACACTCTAAGTTTCTCTATCAAAAATGCTACCTCTTTCTGCTATCACAGCCCCCCTTAGCATGCTGTGCCTAGTTACAACAATTAGAGCAGAACTTTTACATGTGAGAGGGGAAGCTACTTTCACAGAAGCCCCCTTTCACATAAATAGTGTCCTTCTGCATCCAGTCTATATTAAGCCTTATAGCAGCAAAACCTTGGCAGAACCTTGATCCAAGTGGCCTACCTGTTTGAATGCAGATGTTTAGGGAAATCTAAGCATGGTATGCTAAAAATCCACTTGTTTGCTTCACTTCTGCTTCCCCCATGACAAACCCCCAGACACAACATATCTTTACTTGTGATGAGCTGCTCTCTAACACAAGTAACTTATTAGAGTAAAATGATTCCGGGGCTCTTACTTCAGATACTTATAGCTTAGCTTTCTCCTCAATATGCAAGTTTTCTCTGTGATATTCAGATTTTCATATATGTACAATTTATTTTGCCATGGGAAAGCACATCCTAACTGAAAATCCCTCACAGAAAATCTGAAGAAATATTCCCTAGGAACAATTTCATCATAGGACAACATGGTTGTCTACAGAGTAGAGAACTTTGATTACTTCGAAGTTCAAAGACAAATACCCTCTAAAGGAATGTCTTAAATTTAAGCTTCACAAAGAGTTTCCTTTAGGCCTTATAATGAGGAAGAGAAGACAGGAAGCTTTTGCTTCTGGTTTATATTAGCCAAAGAATCCAGAAAACCATGGTTAAAATTAACCATAGTTTGTTGAAATAAACAGGTTCATAAGTGGTGGGTTAAAGTTGGTTTGTCTCAAAAAAACAACTGTGGTTAATGTTAGCTGCTGTTTGTCAGTAGAATGGGACTGTGTAACCCTGGAAGGAGGTTAGGCTCATTCCCATCAAGAAAAATCATGATTAACCATGGCATTCACCAACATCCATATTCTCTGTAACAAGCCATCAATCCAATCTAACCAACCACAATCCAATCTTTACCTACCTGCTTATCCTGTTATTTAGACAGAATACAACTTGTTCTGTAAATAACCCTGTGGGCAGAGTTCAAGAGCTCTGACATCATGAAACTGATGCCAAATAAGCAAACGGAAGAACTATAGTCATCTCAAACCACCTCAGAATTTACCTCCTATCAGAGGAGAGTGAGAAGGTGAGGAAGAATGTTCTTACTGAGCTGAAGGCCATTGCTGCAGTGTGAACACACAGAAGCCGCCAACAGAGACAGCCAGACAGAAACACCAGCCAGGGAAAGAAAAACAACACACAGGTTTTCTGGCTCTCTTACCTTAGTGACCGAGTCATTAACATTAATAGCTGGCAACTTCAGAGTCTCATTGGCATGCATTTTATAGAGATTATGGACCCCAGTTGTTGTCTCCTCAGATATTCCTCTGATTCCTGCAATGAAGAATCACAACAGCACATGCTGTGGTGAAGAGCTCCTAATCTCATGCCAACAACCCTAAGCAATTTCCCTTGCCAATATCCAGTAATCAGGCCTAGAAACAAGAACAGACATAGCTGGGCACCAGCCAAAGCCCCGCACCACAGCAGGGATGCACTGGTGGTCAACAGCTACAAGGGCTTCACAATCAACACAGAAGTGGCCCCTTCTCAGTGGGGTAGATCTCCAGACAGTTTGGATGTCAGCTCCCAGAAGCCAGTCTCATCATGGCCAATAGTCAGGCCTGCTATGAGCTGAAGTCCAAAAATCTGAATATCAACTTTGTGCCCCTCTCCTTTGCCCATTGGTTAGAGCAGGCATGGGAAAACTTCAGGCTTCTGAAATCTACTTTATTTTTTTGACTCTAGAATCCAAAATTCACTCACCTAACCCAGGCACAAAAGACAATACACTTAAAATGACAATACACATGTATTGTGTATGCACAAAAGTCTACTACAGGCTTTCCCAAGAAGTTTTCTTAATCTTAGTAGCCTAATTTAAGAGGGGAAAGGCATTTTCTTGTTTAGCAATTAGGGGGTTAGAAACTTTTGCCAATGCAACTGCAAATTACCCAGAAATCTACCACCAGATCCTGACTTCTGACCACAGCTGATTTAGCAGAATAGAGAACAGTAGATTGAAGCTGTTACTTTCCATGTAATGGTCCTTCAATTTGTTTATGTCACTGTCATGTTTAAATCAAGGGCAGGCAATGACTGACTCTCCAAATGTTTTGGCTTATAGCTCCTATGAACCCTGAACAGCCACAGCCAATGGTGAAGGATTATGGGAGTCATACCCCTGTAGATATTCTGGTTTACAAGCTGCCTACCCCTCATTTAAATATTTGCTAACTGCAAAGGCAGCTGGAGGCTATCCGGTTAGTTTTAGAAGCAAGGGGAAACCATGGTGATTCAAGCCATGAATCATAAAGTTCTCTCATGGAGACAACACCAAATGTTTCTTCTATGGAAGATGTGAAGCCCAAAATTGCCTGAAACCTGCCTAAGTGATTATGACAGAAATGAAAGACTAAAAACACAAGGCTCACTTTAAGAAAAGAAAAACAAAGCACCTGTATAAAGCTTAATAGTGAGTACAAAGATTACATCTGCAGATGGAAGAGACAGGAATTACTGCCAATTCCATGTATGTCTCTCAGCTATTCTTGGGGCCCACAGATGAAATTTATGGTGCCCATTAAAAAAAAATGTTTTCTGCTGAACAGATAGCCATGGAGCAGCTTTCCAAAAACACATTATGGCCACAATAAAAGTTTCCTCCATTTACAAAATTTTATCACCCATGTAAGTTCCTGTGTGTGTGTGGTTTCGGAAAGAGGAAATGGCCCCAGGGAGTGTTAGGTGGGAGGACGTTTTGCCAAAGACCCCCTCAACTTTGCTAGTACCATTACTGTTACCTGGTATATTCCTGCATACAAATAAGCATAAGAAAAAGATCCCTGGACTTCTTCCCTGATGCATATTTGTACTGGGCATCATAAATGTTGTAGCGGAAGATTACTTTGAGGGGATAATTTTCATCTGGAAGTAACCCTTGCCATCTTTATATTCCTACCCCAAAATAGGCAGCCCTCAGAAGGTGCAGAAAATCTCTATATTTTGACAGAGTTAATATAATTCATCACAAACACCTGGACGAATGGAAATGGGAAGGTATCATAAATACCTCCAACAGTGCCACCTCTGGTGTTTGATGGGTCCTTGGGCAAGACACCCTCAATGGGTCTCTTCCCTCAGTGAGTCTTTCTCTCCACCATGGTTGCCCGCTGCTGCTGCTCTATCCCCTCTCTCCTCTTTGCTGCAACTTGCTTGAGAGGCAGAAAGCCAGCAAATATGTAGGCTGTGGGACCTACACTTGCTCTGGCTCCCCGCCAGAACAACAGACAGGTGATTAAACAGGTTGCAGTGATGCAGAGGAGAAGCAAATTCAGGAGGCTCTTTCCTGTGGTCTCCTCTGGGGTGCAGACACTCAGCAGGTGCCTGGCTAGGCCTACCCTGGATGTCAGCCTTTACCCTTACAGTTATTGTCTTGTGGTTGGAGGGAGGTTGATAATAGCACTTGCCACAGTATAAATGAAAGAACACAGACCATCTCCCATAGAATGGAATCGAAGAGAGGGAATAACCACTTCAAGAAAATTTATCAAGGAAGACAAACCTCCTTTAAATTAATGTCAAAATGCACTTTAGCACTTGAGAATTATAAATGACAAAAGGAAAAGCCAAAGTATTCCTGGTAAATTCAAGCACAGGTAAGGTAAAGGTAAAGGTTTCCCCATGACATTAAAGTCCAGTCATGCCTGACTCTAGGGGGTGGTGCTCATCTCTGCTTCCTAGCCAGGGGAGCCAGCATTTGTCCGCAGGCAGTTTCTTTGGTCATGTGGCCAGCATGACTAAACACCGAGGTGCACGGAACGCCGTTACCTTCCCACCAAAGTGGTACCTTTTTAGCTACTTGCATTTGTATGCTTTCGAACTGCAAGTTTGGTAGAAGCTGGGACAGAGTACAGGAACTAACTCACTCTGTCTATGGATTCGAACTGTTGACCTTTCGATCAACCAGCCCAGCAGCTCAGCGGCTTAACCCACTGAGCCACCACATCCCTCCAAGTACAGGTACAGGTGAATAAATGCAGTATTAAAGAAAAAGAAAAGGTGCAGAAGGAGTTGGGGATGGAATTAACAACAGCACAGCATTTCAGACTTCACTGTAGGAAGGTTTGTACTTCTATGCACACCAGATGCTGAGAACAATAGAGGGAGATTGTTGTCTTTCATTTAGCTGGCCTCAGTTAAAATTAAAATGCCACTGATCTTTGGTATGATCTAGTTCTCATGACATGCACTCTTCATGCAAGACAACCTGAAACGAGGGTACTAAATTTCTTGTGCTATTAGTGCACTTACTGCAACCCCCTCCTAGATGGAGATAGCCTTGCCACGGTTATCCTTGTCCTGAATAATAAACTTGAAGATTGTACATGAGGCCGCCTTTATAGACTGATGTTAGTTCACAATAAAATTGATTTGATTGCAAGCAGGCACTATAAGCATATCTCTCCAGGGTTCCCATACTTGAGGTGGCTTCTGATATGGGCTTATTTAGAAGACCAGATGCTTGTCTTTAAAGCCTTAAATAGTTTGGCACTCCAGTATTTGAAAGATCACCTTCCCCTACACACACCTGGCCAAACTCTAAGACAACTGGAGGCCCTCATTTAGATGACCCTGGACACCCGGCTGTGATAGCACACCAGAGCTCTGCCAAGGATGGCTCAAGGGATGTCTTGCTGGCTATGGGCTGCCTCCACCGGAGGTGGCATCCCTGCATATGCCAGTTACTGAGGAGCTCGGGCAGCAGAAGTCCTGTGGGCAGCTGATTTGCCCCCATGTGCATTGAATGCTCGGCTAGATGGACCTTTGGTCTGATCCAGCATGGCTTTTCTTATAGGTACTGGGAAAAGTATTTTTCCTTTAATCCCCTAGGCATTTTAACAGCTCGTTATTTGGGGGGGGGTGCTTCTTTTACCTAATTTTCAGACTTGTTCATTTTACATTTCAGTTTTTATCTTATGTTTTGTTCATTATTCTGATGTACCATGGGAACTTTTTATGCTGAAGATGGCCTAACAGGCCATTTAAAACTAAAAGTAGAATGGATCAAAATGTCTCCACATGCAGAAATGATCACAGATCATATGAAAAGACAAAAGGTCTGGGGGTATTCTAATCATTCAGTGAAACATAATTGGGAATTCTCATCCTCAACTCTCTCCTCCTCTGCTGAAATACATAGTATAAAATTATTTTTGCAGCATATTTTTATTTTTTTTAGCTGTGCAGGAAGAAAGCGAATAAGGGCAAAAATAACTTCTGATGTGGTATGAAGTGCAATGCCCCCCTCTAGTGGACTGTTTGCAAAATATCCTTTCAGAAGTATTAAATTTCAGACAGTGTGTGTTCTTTCCCCAGTGGTACCTAATTTTAAAGATTCCTCTTGCTAATTGTGGTTTGGATTTGTTGCTGAAATTTATATCCTGCCACCATGGCTTATGAAATTCCAAAGGACGTTAAATGCAGGTAACCAACTCTCCTTCAATTCCATTCTTATGTAACTCAATTTTACATATGATATATGGAATGTTACATCATAACTAACTAACTCTCTTCAGTCAGTGGTATATTTTAACAGAAGGACAGATTTCCCAAAGGCACCTTCACATATAACAGGTGAGCAAATGACTTAAGCAACTGCTCTGAAAGCTCTGTTCCTTGGTCAGTTCGCTTCCGTTGCAGAATTCAACGTTTTTTCAGCAAAAGATTGGTCCACCTTGGTGCAGTATTGGGGACATTGGCATATATGCAGAGCTACCTATTGGAGCTACCTAGGACAAGCCAGAGCTGTTCTTCAGCGTGCAATCATCAGAAGGTGGGGTATTACATGCTGCACACACATCCTGGAAGAGCACCATGCATAGTTCATGTGCAAAGGCAGTCACCAGTAAAATCAGTAAAACAGGTGAACCACCTGCACACTTTGTTTTTTCAGGGAAACTATTCTCCATAGCAGATACCTCTGAGGATACTTGACAATTATTTGTATCCTCTTTGTTCAGAGGATTAAAATTATGGATTTCCCCTAATAGCAATTTTGCTGATAAATTATTAATTACTTGGTACCTCAGTTGAAGAGTTTCCGTCTCATTCAACATAACAGCTCAGATGCAAGTATGTCAAAGTTTTGTGAGTTTTGCTTGCTAGATGTACTTTGTCATGATAGTGAAACCAGGGAGCTCCCCCCCACATCCCACATTTTCAACCAACATTAACAGGTGTTTTTATTGTGGGGGTGGGCGGGAAGAAATAAATAACTGCCACTTACACAATCTTATTTCTGTCTGCTCAGAAGTTCCATTATGTTTAATTAGGCTTACTCCCAAGAAAGCATTCACAGGACTATAGCCTAAGCTGAATAATGCTCTTTCACAGTGGCCAGAATTCACTTTAACCTGTATACAACAGGCTTATTTGGGAAAACAGAGAACATCCCAGTAAGTTGGTGGTGCATCATCTAAAACAACAGGAATACCAAAAGTAATTGCCTCAATTAAAGATGAGAATGCTCTCTCACAGAAATAAATTTGCAGTATTTAAGGTTTTATTCAGTGGGAGCAGTAAAATATTAGAGAATAATATGGATGTATTTCCCCTGATTAATCTTCCATGTATAGATTCTACACAATGGCACTTTCATGGTCTTTATGAGCAGAGGAAATTATGAAGGTAATTAACAAATATAAGTACTAGGAAATAATCTGGTATGGGTGCATTTCCAGTTGTATAGTACAAAACCTCTTCTAGATTCTTTGTTTGAAATCTATTTGGTTTGCATTCCTCTATTTCTGAACTGAGCTCACTCTCTGCAGCATTAACTGATGCTTATATTACTGTTAAGAATATGTGAGAAAACTGATTTCTGGGTGGGAATCTGTCAGATATCCTCAGCTCCCCACACTCCAGCCTGCTTTCCCTCTGCCCTAAGTCCGCCCCAAACCAAGTGAGGCATCCAACAGGGAGAAAGTCCATGGAGCCAGCTGCACTCACATCACCCATATAACTTCTGCTCAAGATAAGTTCTGCTTCTGCGGATGTGAATTATGGCCTTTGTTCACTTTGCATACTTTGCACAAAGAATTGTGTAACTTGTGTATTCTGCACAAAGAATTGTGCACTTTGTGTACTTTGCATAAAAAAGCTGCTAGCATTCCTGAGTGTTCACAGACTTGAGCTCAGCTTGGCTCACTTCCTGGCTGGGAGCAAGCATGGGAAAGCAGTGTGGAGAGCTCAAAAGAGCCAGATTCCAGTCTGATCCCTCCATCCCTCATTACAGGGATTTCCCAACTTGGCAACTCCCACAACAACAACTCAAAAGCCATAATTAATGACCATATAGTAGCTCCAAAGCATAGCCAAATATCTCTTGAATTTGGACGTTTGCATATACACATGAACATTTTGACAGGGTGGTTATTTCTGTCAAACAGATATGTAAATTATACTGGAAATTCAAAGCACCACTCAGAGGATAGGTGTGGTAGACAGACTAAAATTTGTGGAATCCAGAAAGCCATCATGTGCAGGGCTACGTAAATCAGTGCTTTGCAAAAACTGGTACTCATAGAACCTCGGAAGATGAAAAGCGCTGCATCAGGCTATTGTGAAAGCATCAATTCATGAAAAATAACTTGATATTGGTGCTAATAGTTCAAAGCTCCACTCACTGAAACAACCCCTCCCCCCAAAAAATTTGCTGCTGCTGCTGAGGGACAAGGAAGCTGTGCCCTCCCCAAGCTAGTCCATTACAGTGCTCCAAAGCAGCTCCATAATGCAAGAAAGCAGCACCTGTTCTGCCCATCTACCTTGAGGAGCATGCAAAGAGGCTGCAGTGCCATCAGAAAACAGCCTTCTCTCCCCCTTCACTCTCTCCAAGATCAAACCCCTGACCTTGGAGAGGCAGCTGGTATGGTTTTCTCTACAGAGGCTGTGAGCAGGAGGCGGCACAGTGCAGATCCCTAGCTCTGATCTGACCACTGGAGCACTGTCTCCAGCCTTGGACCTGGGAATCTTAATCATCCCAGGCTTCTCTCCAGAAAACGTCTAAGGTCCACAGGATTGTTTTCCCAGTGGGTAATGGCAATCAGCCTTATAAAAGTCATCTAGAGCTACTGCCAAAGACAAAATTCAACATATAAATTGAATTGAAAGGCTCCTGATTTTTATTTTTATAGAAAGCTTGAAGATGCAAGAGAAGAAAAAAATCCAGCAGGTTTCAAGGGGCCATGACATTTCCAATTTACATTAACTACTTCATTGCAAAAGAGGAATTATACAATGTACATCTTTTGAAAACATTAAGTCAGAGGTGAGTAACCTCTGGCTCTCTGGATGTTTTAAAGTGCAACTCTCACCAGCCCTCAGTACTGGCTATACTAAACAGGTCCGATGGGAAATATAGGCTAAAGTACCTAGAGGGTAGACACTGCCTACCCCAGCATCAAACCAAAGTTGTAAAGCATTCATGTCACCTATAAAGGATTAGAATGGAAAGCATATTTGCAGACTTAACTCCAGCTACTCAGGACTAGTTTAGACCTTACTCAGGCAGTGACTCATTAGAATGGTACAAAAGCATTCTCACCTTTCCCCCAACCCTCCATCAAGCACCTAATTAGCATAATGCAGGCATTACATAGTGAAGTCCAGGTACATGAGAAGCCACATTTTGCAATCATTACCCCCTTTTGGAGTAGGGAAGAATGGCTATGAATAGGACTATGGTATATAGGACTATGGCACAGCATTCCTTGGTCATATGATATAGCACATGATATAGTGGAAGGTCGCATGTCTACCGCACAAATCGACCACCATTTGGATAAGATGTTTATGAATCTAAGGCCTGCCTCTTACATCTGTCTAAACATTAAAGTACTATCTCTCTGATGGATTTGATAACACAGTATTTCTGGATAAATGAAAGCAAGCTTAACTCATATTCTGATGGAACAGAAGACAATTTTTATGGAACAAAAGATAATTACCTTTCAGGAGCTGTGGATATTTAGTATGAACCAAGCTGGTGAGGTCTCCACCATCATCAAGAATCATGTTCAGAGGTTGCCCGTCCTTAAAGAAGAGGGTCTGCTCAATGCACCATATATATTCCTCATCTGTTTCCCCTTTCCAGGCAAACACTAGACTCAAATCAAACAGAAAATGTATTACGTGTTTTGATTTCCCAGCTGTCAAGCCAGTTTCACCAGAATGAATGAAGCTGGAGAGCTACAAGACAGGATATGTTAGCCTGATGGTTATCTTTCCTTAAAACAACAAGAAACTCAACTCTTGCCTGAAAGGCTGAAATTAAACTAATTTAATTATGTTTGAACAGGGAAGTGGCATATTTTACCTCTGAATCATGTACACTGAGGCCTTTGTTAGAATAAAGCTGCTTCCTCCAGGCCCACACTAGCAGTATTCTACAGTACTCTCAACCTACATGATACTACATAAGCTAGTTCCCTGCACATAGGAGCTTGCAAGCTAAACTTACATACCACAGGTACATGGAAGGGGAAAACAGCATGTGCAAAGTTCAGTGATGCCAAACTTTACCTTAATTTCTGTAGCAGGGGAGATTAAGAGGCTAAAACTAGTGAATCTTGAGGAAAGATTTAGAAGACGACAGACAGATTGGCTAGGTGATCTTGCTTCCAAGTTGACATACCATCAGAAAATCATATAAGGAGAAGAAGAAAGGCAGAGCTATTGCCATCCCCTTGCTCTTCTACCTATAATTCCCCACATCACACTTCTGCAAAGCATTCACCTTCTGAAATACATACCTAGGTATCTCCCAGAGGAATAACAGGCTTAAGTCTAGAGTAGCAAGAGTAACCAAAGGTCTAATCCAAGGCAAGTTTCTATTTAACCTGCAGAAGCCTGTGCTTAGAAGTCTTGCAGCACATTAAGAGACAAGAGTTTAAAAGTTTATGCCAAGTTACCATAGCATAAACTTGCAGGGATCAGAGTCCACAGTAGCAGTTTATGCTGTGAGAAATTTAGGGCATAAGCTACAAGTCTTTATTATGTCCCAATATGCATTTTCATCTTTCAAAAGATCCAGCTTTCCCAGCCCAAGGACCTCCAAATATTTTTGATTACAACTCCCAGCATCGCTGTCCATGTTGGCATGAACTGATGCAGAATGAAATGATGCAGAACATCTGGAGGGCACCAGGTCACCATAGCCTAACTTGCAGGGAATTTATGAGAATAAAATTGGAGTAATGGATGATTGCACCTGAAATTCCTTGGAGAAAGGGAAAAATATAAACATATGCGAATGACCACTCTCTACCCAAAAACCCAGTGCCAACCATTTTGCTTGTTCTAAAAGCACTTAATTCATTAATCTTAATAATATTATATTTATATACTGCTTAACATAGTAAAATCTTAATGTATATACAAAATTACTAAAAATCACTATTACCTCTGCCTCCAAATTATATAAATTCATAGATGCAGTGAGAGGTGCATGTTTGTACATCCTTACTGTCTTGCTTCGCCTTTGCCTATTTACTGAACCAAAAGCATTTCCTAGACAGGCTATGGTCTGTTCTATTGCAGCCCATAAAACTATTGATTAATAGATTAGATAAAGGCTAGATCAGGCTTTAATCCTATTGATTTTCAAGGGACTAAACAGCAATGGGACACAAAAACATATGTGGTAGGAACGTTGGAAGATAAGTAAGTTTTGGTACAGGGTATTTAAAGAAATAGAACAAAATACCAACCAAGAAAAATGTAAAACACCAGAATTAGCTCTATTGAATGTATCTGTGAAAAAGAACAGAGCACTAAAGGTAAAACAGTAACTCTTTGTGTTGACAGCTCCAGTCTATCTGGAGCCAATATACCAGAAAGCAGTAATATTAAATAGAAAATGATAATCAAGGATCTTCACAATCCCAGTCTCTCAAGAGTTAAGATGAACATGCTTCTTAAATTAAGCTTTTGTATTTTGAAAGTTATTTTCATCTTCTGGCTTAAGTCCTATTTTTTATTCTGTTTGTTTAGCAATAAAGTACAGCATAGCCTGTGTAGCCAAGTAATTTTTTTTTTAGTGCTAGGATGAAACTCCAATAGAATTTTGCCCTGTCAGCACCACATTCAGAACGAAAAATTGCACTCTCACTAGGAAATCAAACAGTTTCTTTTGCTCTGATGCTAGCCTGGCAATCCCACCTTCTCTCGCCTGCATTTTTCAACAATTCCTGGTCTGAACTGAACAAATTCCTGAACCAGCAGGAATTAAACTGTAATAAAAGTAAAATATTACCAGGAACCCCAGCTCTGGCAATAGCTGCAGCAGCATGATCCTGAGTGGAGAAAATATTGCAACTGGACCACTGAACCTGCAAAACAATTCAAAACAGATCCATAAGCTCTTTATGTGGCATTTCTTACTTGTGCATAATGCTCTGAGTGTATGCATGCTTAAAAGGTAAACAGGTTAAAGAACAGGAAAATTAATAACTGTAAAATGGAGACTTAAGTCAGGTTTGGGAACACTAGACCCTGGATGAACTAAAAACTTTTCAAAATCCAGCTGCTAAACATCACATGTAATTGGGACTTAGAGAATAGTGGTAACTTACAGAACAAGTCTTGCCTTTTCCCAAGGTTTGATCAGGATTTTATTATCCTGAGTATCAGGCAAACTCTTTCTTGGATGCTAGGACTTTCACTATATGTAATCTGAATAACATTTGTGTTATGCAATAATTTCTAACTAAAATTTGTATTGTCAAATTGTAGACCAGCTACAGAACTGTGGATAAGCCTTAGCATCTACTTTGGTATAGGTGGATGAGGAGTCAACAAAAAGATGAAAGGAATGCTAGAATGTCTGCACTATCCAGGATTAGAAATGTCTCCACACAAATTAGTTTGCAGGAGATCAACACTCGCATCTCTCACCTGCAAACTGCATTTCAGATAGGGAGATCCACATGGATGCTAGCAATGGCGCACTGGAGAAAGAGCTTTCATTGTAGTAAAACAGAAATGGTAACTCAGAACTCCTCATTACTTCTTAATGTTGGACTTTCCAGTGTATTTCCTGCTTGCCAGGTACAATTGCTCTGAAGCACACTGCGTTGCCAGCCATGCACCCCACCCCACAAAAGAGCTCTATTCCAGTCCTTGTGGCTTTAAAACAACTGCAAAACCGCAGAATTCATTTCAATACTAGGCAAGTGTTCCATTAACATGGAGCAGTAGTACCCAAACACTCTTTCCTGAGGGAACCACAAATGGAATTTTGTCATTGCAAACAGTTTTCTATGTGGGATTTGTTTTTCATTGTATCTACACCTCGGCAGTATCAAGTAAACACAGTATGGGTCCTTTGGCTCCTTCTTGGTCTTACAGATAGTTTTCCTTCCCCAAAAAGTATACCAAAGAACCAAAATGAAACTTTACCTCAGCTCCCAGAGCTAACAAAGTTTCAATCAGAACCGCGGTTTGCACAGTCATGTGCAGACAGCCAGCAATTCGAGCCCCTTTCAATGGCTTGGCCGCAGAGTACATCTCCCGCATCTTCATCAACCCAGGCATCTCATTCTCAGCAATCTCCAGGGCCTTGCGACCCCACTCAGCTAGGCTAATGTCAGCTGCAACAGGGAGCAACAGGTGGTTAAATTGCGCATGCACAGAACTGTAGCTCATTCATCAGCCCAACAGCTATGGAGTTATCAAGTCAGGCAGCATATGGCAGCTGGAATAGCATGTTATATTGAGCCATGGATAGCTATGTCAAGTATACTGAGGTTTATAACACAGTTTCAGCTAGGCCATATCGCAACACATAGACTTGCTGCAAACACAGAACTTGTACCTCATAATTCAAAGTGTCTTAGAAAGAGGGCAGCAGCCAATAGCACCAGGGAAACAGATATTTGGAAAATTGCTACAATATAGCAAAAAATACATATATGTGCAAATATGTCCTATTTTCAAGCTTAGATTTCTACCCTTAGCCACACAATGGAGGCTGCCTGGTGAAACCATTTTGATGCTAGCACGGAGACAGACACTAAAAAGAAAGCACACCTCTGATCCATTGATCCAAAAAGTGAATGCAGTGGAAACCTGATCACATGCAATCATCCCCTACAGCTCTTCTGCAGAGATCTATTGTTCAGGATCCTAAAGATGCCTGCCTCTTCCTTTATTTTTTCCCATTGCCTAAGCTCTAGTTGCAAGATGACCTGTTTCTGATCTTACTAGAACAGCATTCTCCTATTTCATACCCTCCAGATGTTTTGGGCTACAGTTACCAACAAATGTGGAAGGAACAAGTTGGAGAAGGTTATCCTAGTCTAAAGCTATCCAGCCACCTGTTTTTGAGATAAAATACTAGAAAGACAAAACACTGCCCTGGCTCTTTTGCATTCCAATGTAACCTTTTCTCCTAAAGAAGTGATTTAAGGCCTCCAGCTCCCTTATCAACTTGGCATAATTACTTTCTAAACCTGCATCTTAACCAGGTACATGAGGAGCTTAGAGATGATGAACCTATAAAGAAAAACAAAAAAATATATAAGGCAAACTCATCATCTTTGGTTTATTTTGTTCTTCTTCACTTTAATATGTGGGTTTGCTAGGAAAACAATAAGCCATTTCTAATACCTGATGGAAATAAAACCCATGGGATACTGTCAGACTTCAGTGATTTTCAGTAAGTATAATTACAGGAACTAGATTTGTTATCATAGGGATGGATTTTTAAAAAAGATACAAGAATAAACACCAAGTTTTAAATCTTGAGGTGTGGAGAACACCTGGCACATTACAATCTCAAAATGAACTACTTGGATCCATTCAACCCAGCATTACTTCATCACAAAAGTCACTTATTTGAAAGGAACTTGAGCAGGATTTGGCAGAGTTAACCCTTTTGTGATCTCCTTACTAGTATTTCATTAACCTAAATAATTTTGCCTTATCAGGAACACCTGCTGCTCTTTGTGTTTCAGAGGTTGTCAATGGACATGCCTGGAACTAAGACAAAGAAGATAGTCAATGCAATAAGAACAGAGTCTTGTCAGTACTTTAGAGACATAATGTTCTGCAACAAGCAAACTGAATGGAATTTTCAAAATGACAGAAAAGTGCTGATGCAACCTATTTAATGAATAATTAACTTAAGCCTACTTTACCCTTGAATAAAACCTTGCTGACTTGCAATGATACCTATTTCATAAACTGCGTAGGTCAAAAGGTTTTTCTTAATTTCCCAGTATATTCTTAGCTTCATCTTCCAGTTCTGATATTTTAAGCATATAACAATATAACTCTCATTATTTAATAGGCCACCTGTATGTATGCCCTTTGTCTTAAGTAGGCAGGATACATTAGGGAAAGTCCTAGTAATTTTTAAAAAAATATGTAAGGGTGCAGTAATATTCATGTTTGGACAGAAGGAAGTCCTACAACTCATGTCTCTCTCAGACATGCTGCGAGTTGTAGGATATTTTTCTGTTTAGTCATGCACAGGATTTAACCCTAAATTGAGAACGTTTGAATTCCTCCTGAGAAGGAAACAATACTTGACTTTGCAGAATGTTTGAGCTTATGTCTATGGAAAAACGACAAGTATTTTGTTTAAAAAAATCTCCTGTCTCGGATGGATTTGCTCAAGTACCTTATTTCAAACTAATAAGGGATCTCCCTTACGGTAAGGATCTTGCTTAATAGCGAGGAAGCAACGGCCGCTTGACAGCATGAGCCCCGGGAGCATTATGGGAAATGTATTCTGCGCGCATAGTTAACTAAAATACAATCCTTCTGATGAACGTCACGGGGACTACAATTCCCAGAAGGCAATTTTTCCCTCCAGCGGCCACATGGAGTTTGCTCAGACTTGCACGCTAGCTATTCAAGCTAAAGTCCATTATATCATGACTACAGAATATGAAAATGACCAGAACAGGGCTAGTAGGAACAAAAATATTTTGACTGTTTAAAAGCATCTCCTTTAAAGTAACGACAGCCAACTCGATGGAGTAGGAGCTATTCGGCATTACTCCTAAATTCTCTGGACATATAAAAAAATCACGTTCAAGATCCAGGTGCAATAACCAAAGAGAAAAAACGCAAGAGCAAATGCACCATCGCTCCCCTTCTAAGCCAACCCAGTGGAAATCGGGAGCGCCCCGCCATCGCTCTGATTTCCAATTAACCAGAACAGTAGCAAAAGGAAACCGAATGATTTCTCCAGGCCTCACACCGCTTAGCACAGAAAAGGGCAGAGAATAATTATTATAATAATGATAAGCACTAACCAACTTTGTACGGGAGCTTGTCTGACATGGTGAAGCTTCTGCAGCCGGCGAGGAGGAAAAAGAAGCGTCTGAGCGAGCAAAAGGCGGCGAAACACGCCTGGCGGCAAAACGGTGGCTTTAAATAGACTCGCCTAGTTTTGCAAATATCTTAGGCCGCCTCCACCAATCTCCGTGGAAGGCACGAAGGGGGCGTAGTCCTGGAGCGCGCAGAGGAAAAGGAGGTGCCCGACGCGCACGCTTGCGCGGGCGCTGCTGTGCCGGTGAGTGCAGCGGATGGAGGGCGTCTCTTATCCTTTACGTCACAGAGTTAAACGTTACTAGAAGCCTAGTTAAGGACTGCTATTTCATAAGGACCTAGAAGGAAACGTGTTGCAGGAGGCCAAATGCTAGTCCAGCTTTCTGTCCCCACCGGGGCTAACGAAATGCTTATGGGAAGCCCACAGGCAGGGCATGAGCACAATAGCATCCTCTTGCGTGTGTTGCGCAAGCGAAGGTCTCCAGCCTCTACCGGAGATCACCGATCGCTATCTTGCCTAGCAGACATCGCTAGCTGTTTTCCCTCCATGGATTTGTCGAATGCTCTTCTAAAGCCATCTGAATTTGGTGGCCAAGTGAATCCGTTCTTCACGTACTGTGTACAAATGCTTCCTTTTATCAGTTTTGAATCTCACATCATTCATCTTCATGGAATAATTTCAGTGTCTCATCTTGGGTCTTCGCTCTTGCTCCACAGTACGCGTTATTTTATACAACTTTTCTATGTTTCCCCTTTTGCACAATATGGAGGACTTAAACCATCCTGGTGATCATGCTGGTTGCTTTCCCTGCATACACTTTTTGAGGTGTGGTGGCCAGAACTGAGAAACCAGCAAGCAGTTCTTGGTGTGCTGGCTGTGACAAGAAGGGGTGTGGGGGAATGAGTGGAGGGGGCCATGGGGGGGTGTTGGAGCACCCCTATTATTCTGGAGCGGGCCCTCGTGGGCATAGCTGGATCCTTGAAGCCAAGGGCATTGTCCTCCCCCACTGCCTCTCAGGAGACTTAATTTCGCTAGTTGGTGGCTGGCAATTGCCACTGTCTCGGAGTTCACCCCTAAGAACAGGGATGTCTTTTCAACAGTTCCTGTAAATCAGTGTGCGAATTTTCTTATGCATACATTTAATTTGATAGCACTGTATAAATGTCCATTTGGTTTAACATGCTTGTATCTCACATTGGGTCTTGGGTGGCACTACTCAGGATTGAGTCCAGGATTGCCTCCCGTGGTTGGTTCTGTAAGCAACTGTTTTAAGATACGTGGCAGGGCAAAGATAGAGTTAGCAGAGCCAAAATGGATATGGTAATTTGAATATTTTCCTACCAAGCATACAAAGCACAGATTATTCCTAAGCACAACACTCAAAACTAAGGTACAGAAGTCGACTTTTAAAACAAAGCTTCCAGTTCCCACTTGTTATTCTTGCTAGACTGGTTTAAATACCTAGCTGTTTAAGTTCTGTTAATACCTTTTATCTCTAATAATTGAAGATAAGATCAAGCGCCCTTGCATTCTGCTAAAGAGCCCTTGCATTCTGCTAAAGATATGTATGCTCAGCAAGGAAAGCCCGGTTCTTACATCCAATCATTGATCAGAGTCAGGGCTTTCTGCACAAGCCTAAAAATAAGAGAGGCTTGTGGAAAAGTTTATAGGCTGCATGGGAAAGCCATGGCTCAAATTTGGCCACAGGCCAGAGGTTCCCTGTCCCTGATTTAGGGTAGTGAGAAATGGTATCCCTTTGTCTTAACCAGAGCACACAGGAGTGATAACACAATGTAGTTTTACCAGCATCACAATGCCCGACTCACTGGTATGTCACATGACATTCATCCCACACTGCCTTCCTGGTGCTCTTTCTGCCAATTATCCAGTTATATCATGACTTTTTATATGCTGCCTTTCCCTCCAGGAATCTATATCAGTGCATGCTAAGTCTGCAGTCAGGAGGAGGAAACGTCCCATGAGTGTTTTGGCAAAACAGCAGCAGCATGCCTCCCTTGTTTCCCTCATCATGGCTTCTCACTCACTCACTCACTCACTAACTTGTCCAGTAAAGTGGGGAGTAAAAGCAGTCCTGCCTTTCCCCTGTCCTTCCCTTGCAAAAAAAATAAAGGTTGCATTGTATTTTCCAGCCCTGAAAACACATGTCTACTAAGAAATAAATCTCATTATCTTCAGTGGCTTTTGTTATGTGCTGTCAAGTCATCTCCAGCTGATGGCAATCCAATAAATGACTGCCCTCCAAAATGTCCTGTGCTTCACAGCCCTGCTCAGGTATTGTTAAACTCAAGGCTGTGGCTTCCTTCATGGAATTCAACCATCTCTTATTTGGTCTTCCCCATCTTCTGCCATCAACTTTCCCTGGCATTATTGCCTTTTTCAGTGAATCATGTTCCAATTATATAAATAGTGCACCATTGAACTTACCTTTTGCCTCTGTACATGTCAGCCACTAGACGACCTTTTGGCTTTTATCTGGTTATATCATTAGCAATAGCAATATTCATACTTGCCTGCTGCTTTTTCCAGAAGCTGGGCCCTGCTATGCATGTTGGACTGATAACATGTTGGAACAATCCCATGTTCTCTTGGATACCATGAAATCCTGAGCTGCCCCAGACAAGGTGCCCTCAGGATGAATGTCGATGTCCCCCAAATCCTACAATGTGAAGGACCTCGACATCCTATCAAATACCACTTCCATCAGCTCAGGTAGGGAGTCTGTTGAGGTGGGTAGAATCTCTAATCTGTCCTGCTGGCCCAGTGCAATGGTGGTCAGACAGACAGGGAGCCAACAGGGATTAATTGAATTCTTATACAACACTGCTCTAAGCATACTCTCTGGAAATGTTGCTTATACATAGAAGTGAAGATTGGTGGCGGGGGGGGGGGTTATGCCATTATCTAAAGAACCTATAAATAACAATAGTGAATAATTATGAATACCTTGCCTATATGGAAAGTACCTTATACCAAGACAGACTATTGCTTACAGAGGCTCCCTGGCATTTTGGACATGGGTCCTTCTCAGCTCTGCCAGGAGATGTCAGGAACTAAACTTGGCTGGGACATTCAGCACACAAAACATGTGCTCTAGCACTGAACTACAACCCTTCTCTATCCTTTGGGATTGATGATTGATCCAGTAAGGACTTTTCCTTACCTTCTAGCTTGAATGGTCAAGGTTTATTGCTTTAAGAACTTCTTAAACAAAAAACAGTCAAGGACACCTTTGAAGTTTTGTTTGGTTTATTTATTGACCTGGTATGTTTCCCTCAAACGATCAAGGGTCATCCACCTAAAAATCAAACTAAGTTTACAGGCAAACCAAGGGAAAAGACTTTTCTCCTTTTCTGACGTTTTCACATAGAAAGCCAATATATTTTCCCTTGAATTCAGTGGGAATTTGAATTCAGAATTATCAAGTTCTTCCCCAAAACAAGTACCTTGAAATGTATTGGACTTCAACACCCACCACCTCCAGCCAGATGCAATTTCTGCTATATATTTTCTAGCAAGTGCATAGATTCCATGTATCTGCTGTTATGCCGTTTCAGATGCCAGAGGTTTTATGAAATGAAATATTGCATTTCTCTTGTTGGCAGTTATGTGCCAACTGCCAGGTCAGATCATTAATTAATTTGTCCTGTGTCCTTGTCCTCTGAAGCAACCAATACCATGAAGCCAGATAGAACTCTGATGAGCTAAGCTAGTTAAGTAATGTTCTTTGTGTTTATATTGGCTGAATTTTTTTCAGTGACACATACTTTATTATATGAGCTGCACATTCCTAGATAATCAGAGAGGAGTAGAATGGAGAGGGCAAATGAAAACCTGCAAAAAAAGAAATTCAGAAGAAAGGTTTTTCAGTCTATCTCATTCAGCAAATCAGCAGTCTAGTACCTTCATGTATTCTTAGGAAGTCACTCAGATTTGTTTTTAAGTGGAAAATCCTTTATCTGAGTGATACTTCTTCACATGGTGGGAGGATGACCCATCATACTTTCCTAGTCCATCCACACAACAATAGCACTCAGTGGAGGAAGCTAAGTTACTTAGAACTCTTCTCTTTGAAATCTAGTTTTTATGTGGGGGTTGTTGTTTTAATATATGGAGTTGTTTTAATATATTCCTTTACTGAA